CTGCCAAAGATTAGTTATTTCCTTAGCTTTACAGTCCATGGCAACTGGACATTTACATATTTCGGGCAATTAATCGACTTTTTTCCAGAAAAATCCACACAGAAATGAGTTCTTTAATGTGCATGAAAGGTGTTGAGTCCAAAAACAAAAAACTGATAAAAATTCACAAACCTGCGGAAAAATGCAAGTTTCTTCACTTTGATTATTTTGACGAGAGCCTGATTCCACCACGCTGCCTCACATATCATTATAGGAAAACCTCTTGTATTCGGTTGTTACGGTACATCATCTATTTAACCCTATCCGTACGTCGTGTTTTACTATCGTATCCATACGACGTGGGGAACTCTGTGCCACCACTTTACCTTATCCGTACGTGGTGTTTTACAATCGTATCCATACGACGTGAGGAACTCTGTGCCACCACTTAACCCTATCCGTACGTGGTGTTTTACTATCGTGTCCATACGACGTGGGGAACTATGTGCCACTACTTCCCAAAGAGGAAATTTACTCGTGAATCCGATCCGTACGTTTTGCATGGCAGTCTGTCAAAATAGTTTTTTGAGAAATACTGAAAGTTTCAAAGAGATCTTCGTACTAGAAGTATTCTAAAATGTGAAGAATACATCCCCGGGTGTACAAAATGACCCCAGGGCGTACAGATAGGGTTAAGATAAGATGATGCTTTATTGTCCAAGTAGGACATAATTTGTGTTGCAAGTGCCGGGCGCAAAACTCTTTCTACAAAAACGAAAGTACAGGAAACAATAAATAGAGCGGACACAATAATTAGTGTGTGCTGTAACCCTGCCCACCCGGAAGTGATCTCCCGCCGCTACCCCAGTGTCCAGTTGTTGTGGAAACACTTTACCGTTGCGTGCGCTGCCGCGACTGCCAGGGAAATCAATAAACGAGCGGGCGGGGGGAAAAAACCCGGAAGAGAGAAAGATTTGAGGAGGAATCGATCGACCGGGTCTTTGGGGAGATCTTCGGAGAGCTAGAGAGGCTGCGGCAGTAGTAGAGCGCGTTCCATATGGTGGACTACTGCAGATTGTTGCTCGTGAATATACCGCTGAAATCTGTGGGAAAATGCTGATACGTTTGATTAGACACGATTGGGTGAACGTGCGGGTAGGATTTCACATCTGTGACAATTTGCGCGGCGGCGATTTGGGTGCACCAGCGTAACCAGCTGTGAGATTTTGCTAGCCCTGAGTGCGCGCGCGTGCGTGTGCGTTCGTGTATGTGTGCGTGTGTATACAGCAACCGAATTCGTCACGGGGCGAGCAGTACAGAATACTGGGCCGAAGTGTGTTCTTTGAGTGAGTGAAGGGATTTACCACACACAGCATTCTGAGGACTGGGATTCTGAACGTTGAAAGGTGAGAGAATAGATGATGGGATATTATTATCATTATTACGACACTGAATAACATACTATTGTCTCTTGTATATATGTGTGCGAGTCGGTGTTAAGCTTTACGGTCATATTCCGAAAAGAACTATTGTGCCGGAGCGGTACTTCCCTCGTTCTGTGACGGGACATGGACCAGGAAAGGAAAGGTTCCAGAGAGAAAAGTAACATCTTTTAGTTTTAGTAGAGGTTTTAAGGCACTCGCAACTGCATAAGGTCATAGAGCGCCAGAAGATTAGAGGTGTTACAAGAGAGTAACAAACATAAAAAAGAAAAAGTGCAGATTTAATAAGGACGATAGATGTTTGATAGGAAAAAAGAAGCAAACCACACCAGAGCACTCGCCAACCACCCACAAGTAACATCTGGAACCGAATTCCGACTAGAACGTTTG